ATATTTGTTTTTTATGAGTGATTTATGTTTGTAAGTCGACTTAAAACAATCTCTGTTTCAGCTTCATATTGACTTGCCCATTTTTGGTATCATGGATGTAACCAACTAGCTAGCTTACAATTAAAGTCGAGGACATACTGGGCTCTGATTGGTCATATTTTGTTCTCCAACTGTTGGAAACAGCGAGCATGGCCACAACAGCAGACCTAATGTAGATCTGCTGGACATTTCCAGAGATGTAGCTGGGGTTTTAGATGTTTGAAAACAATTTAATTTACATACAGTTAAGAGTAATCTTCAATGTTAACAAAACACGACCCCTTAAGGAAATAACGTCACAGGGTGAACACACACGTTTTCAGTAAAGGTACCTCATTGTTTTACTATATTTCAAAAAGTGCGAACTGCAGTAATATTTGCACAAATCAATTGTATTTATTTACATGGGCATGATCATAGGATACAATTTGACTCATGATCACTTGAACAAACAAATCTGTTGAAGTTGATCAATCTGTGTTCACATGATTTGTATGAACTTTATGAATTACCCAGAACAACCAACATGTACAAGTGACAGGTGTGATTTTCAGATATTTAGTCTGTGCATTCATTAAACAAATTAACTGTTTTGTTTCAGGGTGTTATGTGTTTGGATAGCCATGGCTGCAACATAAGACAAAACTAAAGAAAAGCAAAGAAAAAGTACATAGTTCTATTTTCCAGCCAGTCAAAGCCAGACAAAATCAGGCACAAAGATTGTTTTCAAATGGGAGTCAGTGACAGTCGACTGTTTTGCAGTGTGTCTAGCCTCCGGTATCTGCACGTAGAACAAGGGTCACAAAAGATACACCAATTGTGTCCTTCAAATGCAGGCGAAAGCGGGACCCAATCCTCAGGCTGCATTCCTTTGGAAGGGGACAGCCTTGTCATGTTTGGTTTTGAAACACAGACTTCAAAGGATGCAGCCACTGAATTGGGCCACCGTGAATCTGTGCAGCCCCAACTCTGTGATGCACATGTGGTAGACTGTTCATCATAACTAATTGTGTTCACAAAATGCAAAGCCCTCACCTATCGTTATACGTTTTATGCCGTGGCTTGATTAAGCATGTCTGTGCATGAATAGGCTTACCCCCTGATCCCACCGGAAGCGTCTGCGCCGCGCTGCGACCTCCTCCTGCGTCATAACCCACCAGACGCGTTTCAAAACGTTGCGGAAGCGGAGCGTCTTGTGTGCAGCCTCGCAGTTGTTGGATGAACATTCCACTTCCTGCCTGCGCCGCGCTGTGCCGCGTCAAAAATAGGATTCATCCTATATTTTAGAAATTCCATGCGGCGCAGCGCGGCGTGTCTGGTGGAATAGCACCCATTGACTAGAGTGGCCGCGATCCCTAAAAACGCAGCGCAGACCCCCTAATCCCACCAGGAGCGTCTGCGCTGCGGCTGCGTTGCGCTGCGGCTGCGTTGCGCTGCGGCTGCGGCGCTTTTAGCGATCGCGGCCACTCTAGTCAATGGGTGCTGTTCCACCAGACCCGCTGCGCCGCGCTGCGCCGCGGCTCGAAGCGTCCCAGAAGCTCCTCGCCGCAAGGAATTTCTAAAATATAGGATGAATCCTATTTTTGACGCGGCGCAGCGCGGCGCAAGCAGGAAGTGGAACGTTCATCCAACAACTGCGAGGCTGCACACACGACGCTCCGCTTCCGCAACGTTTTGAAACGCGCCTGGTGGGTTATGACGCAGGAGGAGGTCGCAGCGCGGCGCAGCCGCAGCGCAGACGCTTCCGGTGGGATCAGGGGGTCAGTCACTGATTTTTTTTGTCTGTATGGCCATCAAGGGAGAGCTCACCATCCCTTGATGTGTTTATATATTACTCATGAATATGGAGGACAATACAGTCTGAGATCCCATGTCTAATTTCTACTGACGGCCCTGAATGCTTGGACAGAGCCTGTGTGGAGAGGCTGTCTGTGCTACCCTGCAAAAACAGTCCAACTTATGTAACTGTCTATGAGGGTTATGGCAAGGAAACTTTTCATATTGCAATGATAATTTTTAGGATGCTATCTCTTTATCGTCTCTCCTTCTCACTGCATCTTTTTTCTCTCTGGCTTCCATTTAATTTTATTCGGGATCATCAATTAATTACGATGGATTGTTATTGTTTGTTTCCCCTCGCAAACAAGATTATGCGTTGCTGCTGTGTCAGCTGTGGCTTGGGAAAAGAAGCTCTTAATCTCATCTGGATCAGCTGGTGTAAATAAGAGTTAATAAAAATTGTTCTAGCTGTTGTGGAGCAAGCTGAGCTTCGACTGTACGTTTCTTGAACCTTTCTTTAATGCAATGAATGACACCAGACTCCTGCAGAAACGTTAACTAATGCAGAAAGAGCGTTTACCTAGGTGAAGTCAATCTTTAAAATAACTGGTTTGACATTGGTTGAAATGTGAAATATTATTTGATCATGGGGAAGTTTGTAAAGGAGGACGCAACACTAATGTTATACAGAAGTTAGTGAATAGTGAAATAGACATACTGTATAATACCTTTCCTGACGCATTGAAAAAACAAGACAAATATAGAACATCTTTGGTCTGATCTACATTTTACATCTTAACAGAACAATTTTTTTTAATTAAATACACATCACTGGAAAAAAATACTTTTCTCTAACTATCCCTCCTCTGCAGGTCATAATAATTATAATGCATGTTATTTATATAGCGCTTTTCCTGGTGCTAAAAGCGCTTGAAGGTAGGCCTACATCTCAAATATAATTATATGGGTAACATCAATAATTATTTGAAAATGCAGTGAGCATGCAGACCTTAAATATACATTCCTGTCCAAATTAAAACATCTCCATATTTAGAATTGTTATACAATCTTAGTCTCTTGGATATGAAAATGAAAATATTCAGATCTCTTATTTGTCTTATTAAACCCAGGTGTTCATTTTACTATCACATAAGAAAACCAATCAATAAAGCTTGTGCTAGGCAATCTTTGACATTCATTCTTTAAAAATAATGTTTTTCATAATGTTTTCTCATTAAATATTAAATTATATTACATATTTTATGTCCTTCACACAATGAAATATAGGAGCCTGCGGGTGACCTTCAAGATAACTGCCCTTTATGTATTATTAACAACAACAACTCGTATGTAGTGGGGTATCTAAAGGTAAGAACCCGTTAGAGCTGTGTTTAATGTCTACCTGGCAACAGATCTTGTCATCACTCGACTCTTATTAAATCCGCTGCAGTGAAATTGTTTCCTCCTCCTTGTACTAGCACAGCCAAGGTCACTACAAAGAAAAAAACAGGGTAACCTTGTCAAACTAAGCTGTGTGCGTCCCCAGAGTGTACTTGATTAAACCAACACCAGGGTTAACAAAGTTACTTTTGAACTGTTATAAATCACACATGTAGGTCAGAAAACAGGCGAGATCTTCAAGCATAGTAACATGTTGTATGTCATGTCATGATGTTTATATGATCCATTTTTTCCTTCTTGTTTTGAACAGTGAGCAGTGGAGGAAAGTAGGGAAAGGGAAACGTTTTCTAAATGAAATATATATGTACAAGTTAAAGCTCTGTGATCAAGTTTCCATCTTATAATTATGTACAGTCTCACATCAGAGAACTGACGGTGAAAAAAGGTAAAGAGAGAAAGTAGAGATTTAAATTATAACACATATACAGTGTATATATAATGTATCACAATGAGTCACTTCTTTCTAGTTAATTAGTCTTTTCATCATCTCTAACAAAAGGCCATTTGAAATATCTGCCTAAATTAACTCTGCTTTAACTCACTTCCTCTTTAAAGATGGCAAAATCTTAAATCATTATTTAATCCATCAACAATACATTGATAATCTCTTGCAACAATACAGCCACCTGCTGAAGGCCTCGATTCAACCTTGACTCGATCTTTCATACTTTACACTGCTGCTATGACTTATTGTCAAACATGTCTGTTCTCTACAAGGTTGGCAACAAAAGATTATTTTCATTATTGATAATATTTCTGATTAACATGCTTGATCTATAAAATGTGAGAAAATAATGAAAAATGTCCATCGCAGTATAGATGAAAGTCAGAGATGATGTCTTTTTAAATGTCTTGTCAATGCAAAGACACAAATATATTGAGTTTAATACAATTAAAACAGAAAAGCATGGAAAGTGCCTTATTTGAGAGATTAAGAACAACAATTTCTGACATTTGCATTAAAGAAAGGATTGCCTACTAACTTTCAATCAATCGATTTCTCATTAGGCGACTAATTGTTTCAGCGTTACAAGGTTGTTGTTTTTTTTAAATTACTGTTTTACATTCACACTCAATCCCAAATCTGACCAAAACATATGAGATCTAACTTGAATTACAAACAAAGACATTAACGTTTTATCTTTTTTTACTGTTCATGATTGAAGTAACAGACATATTTATAAACTTAAACATGATAACAGGTTATTATTTTGTGTTTCATATGTTGGTGTTGGAGTAACACTTCAGTTACTTTCAATTGTATGAATACCTGTGATGCAAGAGACTTTATGTTTTGCACAGTTACCTGGTAACCTTGAGGAAAATGAGTGCTTTGCTTTTCATTTGGTATTGTGCATAAACATTCTAACATGCCTGCAGAGTGACATGCATTCCACCCCAAATCCATTTGACTTTAATTAAGCCTATGAAGGTCGACAACATTACATTTGTGTTCACAGTTTTGCAGGAATACTTAATATTTGCATTTTGTATGGAAAAGCTAACTATAGGGGGGTAAAGTTAATGGTGTGTGTTATATTTTTCACACAGATCTGAGGAAGTAGTTCATCAGATGCATATTGCTTTGGAGCAGTTTTGCCAAACAGTAAAATGTCTGAACAGCTGGCGACTCACAGCGCACCGCCTGGCGCCCACAGCTCTCCAGGCTGATAAGTGCTCTGAGAGAGGTGGGGGGAGATTCATTCAGGGCTGAGACTCGCCATAACCTCAACAGCCCAGAGAGCTGTAAAGTTAAATTAAAGAAACACCGCCCCGGTGATCTAGAGCATTAATAACACAGTTTATGTTGCAGCTTTATGCGCTCTGGTGACATCAGGCGCACAACAGAAGGTACGCGCACATGGGCGAACATTTGAGTCAGTGACCGAATAAAAAACTTTGAGAAAGTCGACACAGCGACAGAGGAATACGAGGAAGCTACAATGTCTAATTCGGTTTCCTATCCCGGGAATACACGGAGGTCTTCTGCTGTGGCACGTGCAAACAAACCTCCGGATTTAGAGCTGTCGCAAACTACTTTCACCTCATCTGAACCGGAGACACCTGTGGGCAACGACACGTTTTCTGAAAGAGACACAATGCAAGAGGATGGTAACTCTTCAACAAATGTACCAACTGTTCACCTCCACCCGTACCTATCTCATCCCCGGATGTCTGTGCGGATGTCGGTGTACAGTACCGGGGTTCGTCCAGTCGTCACCCGCGCCTACATCCAAGGACGTGTGTATAACTTCCTGGAAAGGCCGTCTGGCTGGAAATGCTTCGTGTATCATTTCACAGTGTGAGTATGTTTTTTTAATTTTCATAATCATCCAGATCCATGGGGTATTCAAGGGTATAATTGCAACTGTAAGATCTTAATTAAACAGGGAGTTAATTGCGCATGTAGAGCCTTGGAAGCTCTCCTTACAAATAACTGTTAATCCTGTGAATTTGAGGAATATGCTGCAAATATATCATAACACAACTGGAGGTCCCGCTAGAAATATCATAAGGAAATGTAAGTCTAGCCATAGCAGATAAAAAAAACGGAATATAAATTAATAACAGACAAGAGAAACACAGAGAAAATAAGCTCTCACATGAACACTAAAGGAATATAACATTGATCTTTCATTTGGGAGCCTAATATCCATTTAATTTTCCAAAACCGTTTGAATACAAAAACCCAGATTTGGGTCTGGTGCTCATTCACTAAATTGTTCAATTTGAAATGAGTTTCTTTTTTTCCTTCCTGACTGTATGACAGCCAGGTAGTGAGACTAACTGGTTTAATGAAAATGAAACATAACAGCTAGTAATGAAAATAAATCCACTGTGGGATGGATTGTATCTGCTAAAGCTCCAATATCATGAATATGTCACATTATGGTCCGCCCCTCAAAATTGATGTGGCAGTTTTGTCAGGTAGCTTTAAAACCTGTCCTTTTCTGACAAATGAAATGTTACTCATGATAAGCAGCTCTCTTTACTCCACTGATGTAATGCCAAAAGATACATTTCACACATTTTATTTTTTCGTATAAACCACAGTCAGGAAAGTGACAGTCCAATAGATCCAGTGTTCAGGCAGAGGTTTAGGAATGTGGGCTGTGATCTACCAGCTCACCCCCATGTGTGCTGTCTGTCCCCACTTGCTGGCACTGATAGCAGGCAGCTAAACTTGGCAGTGTGTGTGTGCTGGGGAGGAGGTAGCAGCCCTGTACGGCGCTGCCACCCTGCGACCCTGCAGTGTTGGAGGGGACACAGGCTGTCGGAGCGGGTTAGAGTCTTGGTGACTCAAAGGGAGCATGAGCCAACACAGTGCAGCACAAGATTCAGACTGCATGTAATGACAGGAAACCCCACAAGCATTAAAGAAGTGGCTGAGCAACGGTGTTCAAAGTATAGTTTTGAGTTTGTAATTTTAGCTGTCGCCATCTTGTTTGTTTTTTTAACCAGATTGCCACATGTGCCACGAAGAAGGTCGAAAAAAGAAATTGTTTGGCAGCCAGAATTGTACAATTTATTTTCATGGCCTGAAAACACACTGTAAATGGGTTAAAGGTAAAACATAAAGGACCCAAATCAGACCTCACAGGTATCAAACCTGTCCATCGCAGGGCGGCCCTGTCCTAAAGCATATGCTTCTTTATTGTCCATTGTACTGTAAATGGGATCGTAATTCACAAAACCAAGATGCTGCTGTATTGAAGAATACTTGAAATAAGTGGTTGAGACCATAAACTCAAAAGGAAATAACATACAGAGATGATCATTCAAGTTAGAAGAGGGGTCATTTTCTCATAGACTTCTATGCAATCAGAAATATTTTTGATAAACAGTGGATTAACCCCCTAGGAATTGTTTTCTCTACAGTGTGTTATTAAAACTGGGCAAAACTGTTAAACAATTTGTGAGAGGGATGCCGCACTAAGTTGTTTGTGTTTCTATCGGCTGGCTCTGTACACATGGTCAAAGTTGAACCATGGTTATCATCAACATTTAAGTCCACTGCAGCCAGCGAGGGGATTGCACCAAATAAGGAAGCGCATCCTTGAATGTGTCTGTTGTGTGGGCTTCAATTGACGTGAGTGGGAGACAATATTTGCACAGAAGTGAAATGTGATCGTACCTTTACTGAAAAGGTTTGACAGGAAGCTGTACACCCAAATCCAGGCTTTAAAAACATATACCTTTTAGAAACTTTCAGTATATTCTGAAGTGTCAGCAGTACTCAGAGTTTGAGTTATGTTATATTTCATTAGATTGAGTGGATTTAGCTTGAATCAAACTCTCTAAATTCTGTAATAAAGAAGGTGTTTGTTTTAAGAGCATGTTGCCAGCAGGGTTTTCGGATAACTTCGGTACCTTGTTTTGAATATGTTTGAGGGGGAGCAGTTAAGAGCAAGCACAGCCTTATCATTGACCCAAAACGTGAACGTCAGAGTGACCATAGTCCTTATCAGAGGTACTCCTATGTGTGTGTTTGAACATGCATATGTGTGTCAGTTTGTGCGTGTGGCTGCTTCTGTGTGTTTACATAGCCTCAGGTCTGTCTTGGTGAAAAAGAAAGCAAGAGTGCAGTTGACTGGAAAGAACAATTGTATATATTTAGCTTTATCCAATTAAAAAAAAAAAGTATATCCCATGCTCTCGCTGGGTGTCTGTCTGCAGTGTGCGGCAGAGTAAACGCAGGGTATTGGTTTTAAACAGCATGAGTCCATCCCACATGCTGGTTGTATAGATGAGTGGATCAGAGGAGTTGGGAGAAACAAATTCAGAAAGCATTTTTCAACCTCGCTGGCATTAAACTGATCCAGATATTCGGTCAAACAGCATCAAGCTAGGGGTAGTCAATACTGGCACCATTTTTTTTATTATTTAGCAAACCAGCTAACAGTCTATGTCCTGTTTTTCTTTTCAAAATGAGGAACATCTTTGACTCAAGCTGCTTTGTATTCCATGCTGTATTTTAGTGTCTGGGGAAAAGGCTTTCATACTTTTATCTTTTGCTTTCTTTAACAACACGCAGGAGCTCAGATTGTTAATGGAGCATAATAGACAATGTCACTTGTTGGTGACAGCCTTATATCTCTGAAGTTTTAACCTAATAACAGCTAAAGTTTCTGAAAAAAGCTTCTATTGTCTGTGGAAATGACATCAAATAATCACTTTAATACATTGGAAGTTTATCTTCTATCAAAGTATGTATCTAAACATTTGTGTTGTGTTCCATTGCTTTTGTTTGATCTATCTTTTGTCTTGTATTAATATGTCACTCACTGTGATACAAATAAAGTTTGATTGTTGTTGCAAACAGGATATTTGATGTTGACAGCCAGTGACATGGTCAGCAGCGTCACTACTAACTCTTATCCTGTCCCCTGCTTTGCCTTCACACTCACTGCACAGCGGACTGCAAGTGAATCTGTCCATCAATAATAGATAGGAGCAATTATTTGAGCTTTGGTTTGTAGTTCAGTGGGGCGTATGTAGCTCAGCCTATGTATTGTTTTGTCTATTGCTCCACAAAGGCCACTGGAGGTAAAAAGTGAAATATGAGGGTGCAGTTATAGAAGAACTGACTAGTCGGATCGTCTCAGATGGATTCAAAGAGAAGCAGAAGTGTAGGCTCAGCATACTGAGTGTGTATCAGAGTTCCCGTTAGCCGGTAATTACCGGACTATGACCGGTAACATATGCTGAAGACCGGCAAGTCTAAATCTCTCCGGTCAAAGCGTCCGGTCAAAATCATTTCCCCTTAGCGCAATACCGTATCAGTTGCGCCACTTATGTGACAGACAAAAGAGTATGTGACAGACAAGAATAGTCAATTCTAATGTCTAACACTTAATGTGGAGAAAGAGATGTCCTGTATGGGTTGATTGTGCGTTGATCTGTTGGTAATGCCTCGGTGTTCCGGTGGGCATGTAAACAAATGCATAATGCTGCGCTATACTTTGCGGCCTCACCCGGTTGCATAGCGACGCTTATTGTTTAGGTGTCTTTTAATAAGCAGGTAGTCATATCATTAGCTAGAACTAGCTGGATCTGATCGATATGGACATAAACGCGAGTGAAGTCTAATCTGACGGGAGAGAGAGATCAGCTGCTGCTGACGAGTCGACACGCAGCTCTGCATGATCACATGCAGCGGTGAGCGGAACAAAACACACACCAGGTTAGAATATCACACGTAGCTATTTTAATTCTCAAACTACCTAAACTAGTTATAGATATGTTTAGTTTTACTGTCGGGTCACTCATTACTGATCCGCGAGCTGCATGATACTGACGGGCTGTCAGGAGAGGGAGAGAGCGCTCCGTTTATTATTCCCGTGTTATTGTAAATTACTGTTCACTTTTGAATAATGTAGTTAATCTACTATAATTAGTTTGTTTAATATCGAATCATCTCAATTTGTTTTAAAGCTCAATAAATAACAAAGAAGAACTTTGACCTGCACTTTTCAAATGTTGTCCGGAAGATTTAAACTTTAACGGACATGTTGACCGGCGAAAAAATATTCTAACGGGAACTCTGGTGTGTATGTGTACTGGCATTTCAAATGCCCTGAAATAATTCAGGCAGAGCTTCGCTGACAAATTGCAGTCATTAGCATAGCATAGTGTTTGCTTGGAAAGTTTGATGTTCATTTGTTTTTCTTTTGATCTTCTTTTCAACTTGCTCTGTCTTATTTGAACATAAGATGTCATAAATTATACTGCGTCCTCACTTATTAATTTGTTTATGCTCTATGTTCCCTGCTCTTTGTAATAGACACATTTGTTACCATTTAAACAAATAGCAGCCCGTGATTATTTTGCCAAAGTCACTGTTAACTACAAATGAGTTTTTCTCACGAATGACAAAGACAAACAATGTTCCCACATCCACAGACCCTTCACACTAACCGAATAACAAAACATAACGCCAACAATTACGTATTACTTTCAAATAAAGATAGGGAATACAACACAGGAAAACAAGAAGAAAATAAAAAATACATAGCGACAACCAGACCACCCAAAATTATATATATAAAGAAAATTGAAAGATAAAATATATTATTCTCAATGACATTCCTTAAATTACATTTTTTTAAAGTAAACTATAAGATTAACTACAGAGTCATTTTGCCGGGGTTGTATTGTCTACTTTATCTGTTCCTTCAAACAGAAGCAGCTGCTTTGTTAGCCTCAAAACACTCAAGTCCATCTTCCCTGAGCAGGTCTCCCCGCGGTCTATTATCTCTGTTGACGTGTGGCGTGCACGTCAAAGTGTGTGTGTGTGTGTGTGTGTGTGTGTGTGTGTGTGTGTGTGTGTGTGTGTGTGTGTGTGTGTGTGTGTGTGTGTGTGTGTGTGTGTGTGTCTCTGTGTGTGTGTGTGTGTGTGTGGTGTGTGTGTGTGTGTGTGTGTGTGTGTGTGTGTGTGTGTGTGTGTGTGTGTGTGTGTGTGTGTGTGTGTGTGTGTGTGTGTGTGTGTGTTAAAAGGGGGGTATTTGCATTCCTGGCCTGTCTTCAATAAACTCTGTAGCATGTGGTGATAAGCCTCCATGGTGCAAACACTGACTGGAAACTAAAACTCCCTCTACACATATTTTCCATCAAGTTATCTCATATAGGAGCAAGACAGGGATTCTTTAAATTAAGGGCTGTTTTCTGAACAATAGCTTGAAACAATATCGACGATGAGCAAATACTTCAAACACTGTGCTGTATTTTCAAGATATGCCCATGTCTTTTTTACAAACCAGTACCACTCACACAAGAGCACTTGCCTTTTTATCTGCAATGTCCTTGGTCAATGTTGTTCCTTATTTCCTTTTACCTTTAACTCATATTTAATCAAATAAATAAAAAGTTAACAACTAAATATAAACCCATTTCAAGTCTTAAACTTTCTCATTAACAGCAATGTGTGTTTGTTGTTTTAAAATATTTTCAAACAAAGTTTAACAAGTATTCATGTATGGAACCCATTCCAGGTATCATATATTCACATTATACTGAATCATTTTGCTTTTTGTTCAGTAAGCAAAGACATGCTCTTCTGTCACAGTACCAAGCATTGAAATACATATTGGCTGCGCAGCTATGTGTTAACAGAAAGCCAACTTTCCAGTGCCTCCATGTTCTTTCGATAGGTCCAATCATGGAAGTGGGTTCTGTCAGCTGATTGGCTAATTAAATCAGATGGTGTCATGTGAATCCATTCAGAAGTTTTGCCTTCCACATCTGTTGCCAACGGAAATGAAAATGTAATCAGTTTGTCCTTGCCACAACACACATTCATAATCTAAGAAAGCTTTCAAACAGACAAGCATAAAGAAACAGGGTGAAACATAACCTCAATTTCAACTCAAAAAGTGGACACAATGCTGTACTTACGCAAATTAAAAAACAGGAACTAATGCCTTTCTGGCCCTGTGGACTGAAACATGTAGGAACAAGCTTATACATATTTGGGGATGGATTATCATCTATATTTTAGGCAGCCATGCATCCCATCATACTCCCCTCCTATCGCATTAAACAGGATCCCTCCCTATGACTTTTATGAACATCTGTGACAATGTTACTACTTAAATGTATATAGTGTTACAAGATGTAAGCAAACACAAGATGTGAGCAACACTAGATGTGAGCCTGAGTTGGTGTTTTTTTTTTAAATAACAAAAAAGAACCAGTACGTTTTTGTTGAAGATTTATGGAGTAAAACATCCAAGGCCACATAAGAGAGTGGTATGGTTTTGCAGTGTGCTCTGAAATAAATGAAACATCTTCCTATTATGTAGTGTGAGGACTTGCAGACGATTGTTGCTGCAGTTGAAAAATGTGTGACCTTGTGGGGGATTAAGGAGAATGTTAAGGAGCCATTTAGTGTTTGTTGAAACTGTGTGTGTGCGCTCAGTATTTGACAAGTTTATAATGCGTTTTGCATGCATGTGGAGTTCAGAAGGTTCACAGTATTTCCTCGGGAGGGCTGTCCTTGAATGTTTGCTCAAAATCAGTCAGATGCTTTTCCTGACAAAAATATAAAGTAATGTTATGCTGTCTTGTAAGTATTTTATTTTTGAAAGTTGTTGACTCGAACCACACACCAAAGCTGACTGAAGTTTGCAGATGAAATCAAAGTGTGAAATGTTGACATGAATATGAGTAGGAAAGTGGATTGGGGAGATCCGTCTCTCCCTCTTAGACCTGCCTGATGACAAGTTATGTAAAGCTTTGATTCAAGCTTGTTTTTAAGTTAAAAAGGATTTGAGGTCTGGACTTCATCCAATTGAATGATATAAGAAAAAGAAAAAAGAAAAAAAAGAACCACCCACATGAACTTTAATCATGTTTTATCTGCCTTATCTCCTACAGGTTTCTCATAGTTCTGGCCTGTCTGATCCTCAGCGTTCTGTCTACCATCGACCAGTACCAGGCTCTGGCTCACACAACACTCTTCTGGGTGGTGAGTATTCATTTGTTTAAAAGCAACTCTGGGATTAGCTGCAGAAACATTGTTCTTTCTGTGTCATTTCGGTCGTTTGTCAGAATGTATCTACCCAAACAGAGGTTTTAGAAAAGCAAAAGATGATTTTAATCCCAATGGGAGAACCCTAACTCTCAGAGCTGAGAGCTGGGTTTTGAGTCAGATAGGCCAAGATGATTTATGCTGTAGGGAGAGGGCTTAAAACTAGAGATGTTATATCCCTGGTTAGACCACAATGTGGCTTTATGATATTCATAGATGTTGCTGTTGTAGTGATTATGTATGGGGTAAGTTAGCTTGGTAAAACATACGAGAATAAGTAAGTTCTTTAAAGTTACTTAACTTTTTCTTTTATTACCAGGAACGGTGCTTATTAATCGCCATTTTGTTTTACATTTCTCTGGCACGTGACTTGCATGTTGGCAGCCTGTCTTATTTTCTCCAGAACACACTGCAGCTACAATCAGAATAAGCTCCTAAACATCAGGACATGATGTACTTTATCTATTATAATCAACTTCCATACAATACCAAACAGTAACCTAGCCATTGCATTATTCCCTAGATATTTAGAGTTATCAGGTTTCATTTAGATGTAAGTATTTGTCTTTATTTTCTTTCTAACCTACTGTTTTCACTTACCTGTTCAACGCTGCTGTACCACCAAGTGTATACATTTGTCAAATGAAGTGCTTAATGATGCAATTCAATACAAATAGAGAAAAAACAATAGTAGCAGGTATATACACAATGATAGTATTTAGCTGTGTTGCCAGAGATCAGGCTTTGTGGCTTCTCATAATTGCAGTTTTGCTACCTCTTAACTTAATGTGTTCAGGTTAAATAGGTTCAGGTGAATAAGTCATCCCACTTTATTCAATAGGACGATTATTCCAGTATCTGGTGGGTCTGACTGAGAATGCTGTTTGCTCTTTTGTGAACACAGTCCCCTCTGGTAGATGCCCTTGTTGACCTGCTGCTATTATCCTTCTGCATTAAGAATTGACTAAGTGTGGGAGGTGCACGCCAATGTAAAATCTTGAAGACAGAAAATTGAGAAACTGTACTTCGAGGTAAATTATTGACTAATTCGTATGCTGCTCTCCTGCAACTGCAGTCTGCGGATACATACCGGATCTCTGTTGTGGGGCAGACCAGGGTTGTATAAAGTTTTATATAATAAGATACTTTTCTCCTTTTTAGACTCTCCGGGTCTCTTTTTCCTTAAAAAATCAGCACTACCGAGATATATTTTCTCAACTCATGCAGTGGTGTGAAGCAATCAGAGATTGAAAGACTGGAATCTGAAAGTAATCCTTGCAGGAGCTAAGGAGAGAAAAGAGAAGAATAGCTTTAACTCCAGCTCCACATCTAATGATACTCCCATAAAGATTATATAGATCAGTGTAGCACTTGGACAAAACTACTGGTGTTAATGCATGTTAAAGGTCACCTATCATGCTATTTTTAGGCAATAGCATAGGTCTCAGATATATACAAATATATAAGAAAACATGTCTATGAAGTGTTTTGCTCAAAATACCAAACATATCACCCATTTTAGCCACGCCTCATATCCCTCTATTTCACTTTATGTTACTAAAGTGCTGATTCTGGGTATAAAGCTTTAAAAAAAAAAAAAAAAAAATTTAAAAAAAAACGTATGCCTGCTCATGCAGGAGATTTCTAGGAATGCAAAGCCATATCAAGTTCCAAACCACATCAAGGATTATTTCTGAAACAGTATGGAGCTCAAATGCTTTTTCTCTTGCAGGTTTACCACAAGGTGAGTTCCTTTTTATTTCCTGCTTCTTCACACATGCTCTCCAGTACAAGTTAGCTCTGACTGTTAGCAATGCTTGCTAATGTAAACAAAGACCATACGTCCAAAACGTTGCGCATTGTTTCTGATAGCAACGTTTCTGATTGGGCCGTGGGTCCACATTTCCGATATTACGTCATATCGGACGCAAATCTGGATCAGCTCCGTTGTTCCCCCGTTTTTAGAGATTTGGGTACGGAGGAAAAGAGAGAGGGTTTTGTTTTCTGACACTTTGTGAGTTTCCTGACACACCGGGGACACATATTTATCTATGAAAGACATCAACAAGTGCATTTTGCATGATAGGTCCCCTTTAAATCGACTAACATTTTGGTGCATAACAAACTACATTTTCTCATTTAACCAATGAAGGTCATGACAAAAGGTTTAACTGTCAAGTTACACACTCTGTGTCTGTAGCGATGCTCCAGAAGGTAGCAGCGCACCAATATATGGGCCCCAGGTATCATGATAAATAAATAAAAAATCATCAGCTTTATGGATATTTTACGGGGTAGCATACATCCAAAGATTGTCTCAAGGATTTGCGAGAATGTTTTAAGGCAACATACGAATGTATACAATTGCTGTGTGTGCAGGAAATGTTTTAGTGTACTGTATCTTTAATGATCCTGATCACTGGTCCATGAACGACAGATACAAGCAGAGTGATTGAGATGTGAAAGAATCATAATCTCCATCTTATCTACATGTTGCATTGTTTACACTGTAGATGAAGCCTGCAGCCTTGTCTCCTGATCTGGTCTTTCACCATCTGCTCTGCACTTCTGTCTCTGTCTGTTGGCTGGCATCTGCAAACAGACCTGACTCTCATCTTCTGATAGTTTTGTTCCCGTTCCATGTCAAACAGCGAAGACAAAAAAAAGAGGATGCTTGTAAAACAATGCAGTTAAAAGACATTGACAACGCTTTTTGAAATAAAACACATGTTGGATAACCTTGTTACTATAAAAGTTTGTATATTTTCAATGGCATCACTATGATATTGGGGATGTTGCTGAAACAACAGATAACAGTTTATTTTGTTTGAAAAGCAATTTCAAAGGTTTGACTCTCCTAACCGCTGCCTCACAAAAAAACAATTTAGGGACACTTTATTTGTAACTGCATCGACTTCCCACTCTGTAAACATTTTCAGGGCGTCCCGCTGGCCTAAGAGGGCGAAGGTTCTTCTTTCAAAGTCAGTAGTAAATGGGATCAACTTAACCCTGAGAAACTAGCTGCTGAGCACAGGAACTGTTTGTGATGGGTAAGTCACTCAAGCCCAAACAAAAGAAAAACCCAAGAAAGGATAAAAAGGACTTGGAGATTTTCTTTGCGGCGGCCTGGAGCGTGCCACATGTGACAAGTTCACCTTGGCCCGATGATAATGGGATAAAATGGTCATGGTGTTTCATGAGCCGGCATATAATCTGAAATCCTACAGGTTCATTGGATTCACAGATTCAAGCTCTAGTCAGACCTATAATCATGAGGAAAAGTGAACAGAACATTTATAAATAAATACCTCAATATCATGAAATATGCATCTTATGGCAAATGTGTTTCTGTCTTAAATTTACCCTGGAGATATTTAATCTTCTTATTATTCTCTTCGACAGAGATTATGAATAATTAATATTTGCCACGCTACTAAACCAACCAAAATCTCAAACACTCATCTCTTTCCATCCTCAATCCCAAAGGGGTTGTTTTTGTACTTTTTGCTTTCTAGTTAAGATATTTACTGTGACCCCGCCACTCTTTCATTCTCTCCTCCCCACACCACAAAAGCATCTTCTTTGTGTTGTTTCTTTTTTCCTTCACACTCAAGGTCAACTACTCTGTTCTTTACTTGGAGATGCAGTGTTTGCTGACAGTGTTTGTAGTAGTGTGTTTGGCCAGATGCTTGGCAGCTAGCCCAAAGGATCCACGTTCCCAAAAGGGCTTGTTTGTTGTTTGGATCCAAAAATGAGTGTAAGTTTAAAAAAAGTAAAGCTACACATTAATTATTTATGATTTAGTTGATGAGACAGAACCAACAGCTATCCAATGCAAATATCAAAGCGCTTATTCCCTAGAACAGCTTTCGCAAAACTAAGAGATTACAATAGTGAATTTGGAAGGAATGCGGAGAGATACGTGACTTCAAATGAGTTTATTGGAAAAAGGAGGATGAACGGGAGGGTTGGGGAGAGCGGGATGAAGGGGGACAAGATTGAAGAAAGGGATGAAATGAAGGTCGAGCAAGAGGAGATGAACCGAGAGTGAAATGGGGATCCATGATGGGTTTATGTCAAAAGATGTTGTGGATGGAATGAGACTCCGGAATGACCAGATGAGGCATCCGAGCTATGTTGTCCCCCTTGTGGTTCCTTTAACACGTGGAAAAGGTGAGGAAGTAGAGAAGGGGGATTTGATGGGTGAAGGACGTGAGAACCAATTATTGGAAAGAATATAGGGGTGAGGTTTAGGTAGATGGATGCTATTCAGTATTGGTTTCTGTTCTTTCATTTTCACATTGCTAACCAGGTGTCATAAAGCTGTTAACCACTGAGATTGAATGTTTTAACCCCACAAAATTGTTATCAGTAGTCAGGCTTAGAGAATAACGGATTGCAGGTAACAGAATGACATAATCATTCTGGTCCTCACCTACAAAGCACTCCACCATCTGGCCCCCCCTTATCTCACAAACCTTCTCACTCCTTATCAACCCCCACGGTCCCTCAGATCCACCGCAGCCGGACTCCTATCCATTCCCACATCCACACTCTGCAGCTTTGGGGACAGAGCCTTCTCAGTGGCAGCTCCTAGGCTCTGGAATTCCCTCCCCCAAGATCTCCGTGACTCTGAGTCCCTCACAGTCTTTCAGTCCCGCCTCAAAACACATATTTTCAACTCTTTATACCCATAAGCCCCCCCCCTCTCAATCAACTTCCTCTTGACTGCCTTTTTATTCTTTACATACTTGTTTGCCTGTCCTTGTTTGTCTACCCTCCCTCATACTGTAAAGCGTCTTTGAGTTGTGAAAAGCGCTATATAAATAAAATGCATTATTATTATTATTATTATTATTATTATCATTATTATTATCAGGATACAGAAATAGGTAACTGTTACAACCTTACAGTTACATAAAAAAACAAGTTATCAGTTTACTGTTACATTTTTAAAAGGTGGGGATTACTAGCACGATTACAATGTTCCAATACTTTTTATATTAAAGAACCACATGAGATGAGTCTGAAATGAGTCTCGAGTGAGACCACAGATAATCTTCCAGGTAATCATCGAGGTCTCTAGTTCAAAGAATGCTTTTACTGACTGAACTTTTCGAAATCATTTTGTGTTAAATCTGACTCTGAATCTGTCACTGCAGGATTTTAAAATACATAATGTGCAGGCATGACATGAGCCTTGACACCCACTGTAGACATATTAAAAGTATTTTGCTACACCCAGTCATTTCATGCTAGCTGGGCCAATAGTACAGCCTGTATTAGCTGAATGTGGATGAAGGCAGCAAATAGCCTTGGCTTCACAATGCATTTGAAATTTGAAAAGTAATCAGATTACATTATGTTTATTTATTGTGATACTTAAGTTAGGTTACTGATTCATTTTGTACAGGTCCTTTATAATTGGAATGTAGCAGACAATTCAAATGTCAAGCCAACATATGGTGTTAAAGTTGTGTTATATAGGGATCCAGCAGGTAAATGGACCATGGAGTAGACTTCTCTTTCCAAGGTCACAATGAAGTGCTCACAGCCACTCTCTTGATTCTCCTCTACGCCTGTTCCTACTACCTACCTGTTTGTTAATGTGTTACTTCCTCGGATAGACAACTTGTTTTTCAACCTTGAAGTAGAAATCCTCAGTGAAGAAGTTACGGAATACAATATCGTAGATATTTGCTGCCAAGAACACATTTTAACATATTATGTATCCAATTTATGTTTAACAAGACGTGCCATTTTTTATATTCATTGCCATTTAAATCTCTGGCTGCCATGAATACAAATGCATCCAATAATTCCAAGCTGGAAACATCTCTTGCTGCACAGCATGCCACATCTTGTGCCTGATTCCCCCCAGGCTGTTCCTCCCATAATTCACTGCAAAATGATCAAGTCACCATTAAAAATCTATGAAAGAGCATTGAGTCACTTTCAGACAGCTTCATTTCCAAATACAAGTCAATGATTTAGAGACGTGTGGCGGTATTAGCATTCTCATTCACACCAGTTCATTAATTTCTACGTGTTGATGTAATTGTGTGCTGTAATAGATTTGATCAAATCCATTAGTCCTCAATGAGCACTGAAAGAACCTTACAGTACATGGAATTGAAATGGAGCATCTTTATTTGAGAAGCTTTGATTGAATAATCTTCATGTTAAGCATTGGACACCTGCTGTTTGGGCTAATTTCAGTTAGTGTTATGCAAACTAGAAATAACAAAGAGAAAATTGAATTATACAGAATTATCCAAACGTTTTATTACAGAATCACTTTTTCCATCTACCAGATCCAGCTTCATGTAGCAGCTAAAATGGAGAATAAATCAATGTATTAACAGAAATGAAACAGAGACAGATGATGTAGCTGCTGATTGAGAATCAATAATCCTTAATGAATTGCTGTGACAGCTTTAATGGGAGAAGCTGCACTTAACAGACAAATAGGAAGTTAGAGAACAGTTGTGCAACCATCGTATCTACAATTAAACAATATCTGTTTTGAAGCACTTTTCTGATGTCTGAGCAGCTGTTTAGGTGTTTTTGCACTCAATAGCCTGCAACAACACCCCATTCGTTTTTTCCACCTGTCCTTCTTCCTCATTGGTCTGTTCTGTTTCCCTAATTTCCCCAACAGGAGATTGTCCTTGTGGTGTTCTTCGGTGTGGAGTATTTTGTCCGCCTCTGGTCAGCAGGCTGCCGCAGTAAATATGTTGGCATCTGCGGCCGACTACGCTTTGCCAGGAAGCCGATATCCATTATAGGTGGGAACACAACCCCCATACACATTCATATCCATGCACTTGCACAAAAACACATATCGCTCCCTACCCACACACAGTATTTAAACAATATCTATATCCTGAGCCTCTTCCCAAAATGAGATATCTCAGACAAATTCAGTGTGAAATTAAAACTCACTGCAATTATTTTCTACCTTCAGCTTTTTATTCTTAAAATTGGAACCTCCAGGTGATATTTTTTTAAATAAGCAGCAATAAGTATTAGCATTAATATTATTGGTAACCCCTTTGACTTCAATTAATTTATAGAATCATTTTTTTTAAAGAAAACCAAAGATAGCTTCTTAAGAGTACTTCCCATCCACTTTCTTTTACAACATTACAGAGGACAATGCTTGCTTTTGATATGCTGAATTTCTGTATAATGAAAGCCTGCTCTCTTGTGCCTTGTACTTACAGCCTCTTATTCTCTATCTTTATAGATCTGATTGTAGTTGCTGCCTCGATTATTGTGCTGTCGGTGGGCTCCAAAGGCCAGGTTTTTGCCACCTCAGCTGTAAGGTAAGAGGCATTTTATATGGCCAAACGTATGTAGGCACTTTTATTTTACTTCTAGTGCGGGGGTTGTTTTTCAGTGTTGGAGTTAGGCCCCATGGTTCAAATTAAGAACTGGAATAGCACTCTGAGGGCAACCTCCGCAAAGGCCATACGGGATATTCCTTCTCCTCAGGTGGCCCCATTTTGGATCGTTCTTCAGACATTGCTGTGTTCATGAGCTTTAAGTCGCAATGTGGAAACAACACAGAAGCCATGTACTGTAGGCGTATTTTACTGTATTTCTCAAAGTATTTCCAGTATTTAAATGACAGCAGAGTATGGAGTCAAATTTGGGTCAATATTCTAGCGCGTAAAACAAGCTACTCACGAGCGGAAAATGTGCTTTCACAAGCGCATGAAATGACCCTCACGCGCAGACTAAACCCCCGCGAGCGAGAGAGACTGCCCTCTTGCTCGCTCGCGGGAGTGTCAGCCTCACTTGCTCGCGGAGTCTGTCTACGCGCACGTGAAAAGTTTCTGACACTTTGGGGCGGACCAACTGGACTTTGATTGACAGCTGCGAGGAAGCCCGGAGTTGCCAGGTTTGATGCCTGAACTACCAAGAGCCGAGGAGTGACAGCTGCAAGATCAGTTGGACGAGATTGAATAGTAAAGTTGTCCATAAAAAACTCGTATATTCGTAAAGTGTACAGCTAATATATATATTAATTAATTTGATACAATACAAATGTGGCAATCCACATATTATTTTTGCCCTGATAATGTGTGTGTACAAACATACGTGAATTGGCCGGAATACGAGATCAGCATTTTAAAAATTGTGTTATTTTTCAGAGGGATTCGCTTCCTGCAGATCCTGCGAATGCTTCACGTGGATCGGCAGGGAGGAACCTGGCGTCTGCTCGGCTCTGTCGTCTTTATCCATCGCCAGGTACGCATTGCAGATTAGAAATCACTTTACATTTCCAGGTCCAAAGCATTCAAGGATTTCAGTTGTTAAAAGTAAGCTGGAGGCTTTCCGTCAGGAGATTTATAGCCTCTTCTCGTCATGTATTATGACGCTCTATTGTTCCTTTCTGTACTCTGGATTACAGCGGAAATTAATATTCAGCAGAGGCAGAAGAAAAGAGCCACTGTGCAGAGGGTTACGGCCATAATCTCCTCTGCTGGAGAGGACTGTAGCCCTCTCAGTATCATTGAGCTGAGAGATAGAGGTGTCTGTGATTATCCCCAGGGGCCACTGAGGTTGTCTTAGATGTGTAAAAACAGAGAGTGATGAAGGTGAGAGTCGGGGGTGTTGCTCCTCCACTGCCGCCTGCAGTGATGCTGGTATTGGCCTGTGCTTATGGACATATTGCTCCTGGCTGAGGATGGTCATCAGCAGTCATTGACGTCAGCAGTGAGATATTCGGGCCCTTTCCAATAAGAAATCACTTTGCAGGAAGTAGCACCTGCTGCTATTAAGTGAACTTCAGATTCAGGATATAAAAGGTGAACTTTGCACATTTTGTGTTGTTGCCGTAACCCTGAAACGTCTATCACCATGAATAATAATAGATCACGATTGCTTGTTAAGCTTTTAATATGATTAGTTTCCCTGCAAATGCACTACATCCCACTGGCAATCACCATGTGCAATAAAACAGATGCTGCACTCTTTATTTGAAGATTTAAAGCAGCATATGGGTATAAGTCTTCAAATACATTTATAAAGAGACATCAGTCATGGTTACTTTTATGTTGCTTTTATTTCATCCACCATGAAAAGGTTTTCAATGAAAACACTTTTGGCTTGTGACCCACAGAAAAGAAAAAAGGATGTCTGGTTGTAACCCACTTCACAGGTTTAGGCTTTGGTTGTGTGCACGCATTTGTGCAGGAGTTTCTTTCTTCTTGATTTAGTTCTTCTCATATTGCTTTATTTGAATTACTTCTTAGAAGCCTTAAGGAGGTGACATCTAATATATCAGAGCTAACTTGAAAAAGTCTGAAATATGTAGCAGATGTACATTTTTCTTTTACTATTCCATGAACTATCTTGTGAACCCCTGAGATTTATTGAGCACTGGGTTGAGAGAACCTGTGATTTAGGCACATGACCGAAATAATATTAGCAAGGTGGAATTAAATTCATATGATGTTTCTCTCCTTTATTCATCACCTCTACCTCCCATGCATTCAAGGTAGTGGAGGATAAGAAGCACTGGTGAGGACAAATTGAGCTTTTAAGTGGCTGGAGACCACTTCAGATTAGCAGGTTTGAGATTAAATGGAATATGGCGCATCTATCACAGAAATGTACAAATGGAGGCAGAGGGAGATGGTAAGTGTGTGATTAACATTTGGATAGTCCATTTTATAATAAATCCTGATTGGAAGGTGTTTTAACTGTGGTGCGTTCATTTTCATTTTTGTCACCTTGGACTACTTATTTTGACAATTAGATATGTTATGTTAAACCCATAACAGCTCTTTTCACCCTACTGTGCACTACTTCTGAAATGTGTTCCTTTGTGACGTTCTGGCTATTAAATCCACACGAGACCTGAATATTTCTCTTACCCACGCACATGAAATTGCATCGCTTCCACAGTATGTTGACAGCTAAAGTTTGAGAGTCAATAGAGTGTCAGTCACTTCTCTCAGTATGAATTATTTGTTTAATTACAGCATTTAAATCCACATTGAGTACAGTGCTTATGGCTTGTAAACACAATTTGCACAGTTGCTCCCCGTTTTGTCGCTGGCAGATTATGAGCACATGTTTCCTGAATGTGTCAGCCGGGTCGCAGCCACAACAACACATCTATTTAACCCCATGTAGTGATTCAAATAGGTTGTACCTGAACTTTTATGTTGCAAGCAGTGATGTTATTGAAAGATGTTTCATGCTCAACTATTCACAGTCAAAGGTTTGATGACTAGAAAGTTCAAAATGTTCAAAAAGATGAGCTGTCAAATGAGGAAATACAGACTAAAATGCAACGTAAGAAAAAAACCACAAGGACTTCTTGGGTAGGGTAATGTAGGAATGTATATTAATATTGTTTTGAGAGATACCAACATAGCCAATCCCTGGGTTATTTTTGTATAATCTACTGCTACTCCCCTGGTGCTCTGGGAGTGACAGTTTTGGGCCGATATACACTTGAATTTGACTGATCAGGAATTCAGTCTGATTTAGTCAAGTGAATGTTTTGCCACTCCCTGGTTTGCTATGTTTAAATTATGTTATAGGTAAGTACGAACAGAACATTCACTTAAAGAGCTCTTTCACAAAGCACTATTCAAATTACAGTCAGACAGGATGAGAGCCAACACCAATTAGACCTCCTGTAAACACAGACCGCTCTTTATTGAATCTGCAATAAAATGCTTCATAATTATTGTAAATATGATGGAATAGATCAGCTGTCTGGACTTCCAAATTAATTTTAAATGAGTTAGTGCCCATCTGAATTCCCATCCAGTGATTATGAGTGAACATACTTTCAGTTTTATCTTGGCTGCCCTTTTGGTTCCTGCATGAAGCAGAATAATATGCAGGATGTGTGTTACTTTAGTTATACTTTTACATAAATTGTAAAATGAGGAATACATGTACCTCATGATGTTTTGTTAATTTGGTTTAACATTTAGTTTTGAGATCATAAGTCTTTGTTTATTTTTGTCATATTTATCAAATGTTATCCCTTTTATCCTTTTTAATCTATGGTCATGTGTCACAAAGTTTTAGATAAGACCAAAAAATAAGCATTTTAAACAAATGTCCCCTAATTGCTTTCAAATTTAATTTCATTCAATTGATTTTGGGCTTAAATAACTAAAATAAGGATGATTGTATCATAACGTGTGCAGCTTTATAGAGAGCCGGTCTGGTCTGCTGTTGTTTATTTACACAGTACATCCAGGCATGAAACATGTTCTAATTTACATGCTAATTTTAAACAAACCCAGTTCACCAAATAAGGCTCCTGGGGGAATGGAACATATGCTCTTTAAAATATAGTCTAATTATAAAGGCAGTCAACAACAACAAAAGACAGCTCTATAATTCAAGCCTTGGTGGTATTGTGGGGATAGACTATATTGTGTTCAATAGCTTTTATACTATGAATCAAATAGATTCAGCAGGCATGGAACATTTAAAATTGATCAGACCTGACTGTTATATGTGTGTAGCAATCATTAAATGCAGGCTTTGGCCTTCCCATGAAAATGCCAAAATCAACAATGAATTGATCCTATTAACAAGTGTTAACCGGGTAACCGAATGTAACTTTATTTCAATGTGCCATCGAGCTCTGATGTTTTCAAATGCTTAAAAACATATCACTGAGCCACACCTGTGCACTGTGTAATATGTTACTTTATTTTACCACAATTTACTTTGAGGAAACTCCACATGCACCTGACGGTGACATGGACACTTAATAGCAAAATTAATGTGTATTAATCTGTCCAAAAAGTAGTTTTAAAAAGAAATATATTGCAGTATTTATTCCCGTTTGAGCAACTTTTGCAAACAACTATAAAGCCCAGCTGTTTTGGGAATGTTCAGAGCTGTCTGAAAGGATGTTAAGTAGCAGCAAATGGGCTTGGGGCTGAGAGCCACAGAATTGAGAAATAGATTCTCACATTGTTGGTTTTAATTTGATTGATGGACTAGGCTACAACACATTTTATTTGGGCAGCCCTGTAGTGCATAATGAGAGCAAATAATGAATCCTTTAGGAAAAAAAAGTAGCCACTGTGCTTAAAGTATGGATCCACTTTTAGTTTGCCATCAAGGCGACAGGGACTGAAGACTTATCAGAAAAGTATTTCAATCATCATATTTACAACACATTGACATGAATATTCACACCCATATGTCCGATTAAAAGCAAACACTAGTCCCTATAGCAGAAGTTAAGTGATATAACAGACACATTTTGGACATAATAAGGGTTTGCGAGAAAGTATATATACTGTATATATAGATTGACATATATATCATACAATCTCATTGTGTTATTTGACATGATCCCTTTGGCTTATTGATTTTGAAATATGTCGTGCGTATGTATTTCAGGAGCTGATCACTACTTTATACATTGGCTTTCTGAGCCTGATCTTCTCCTCGTACTTTGTCTACCTGGCAGAGAAAGATGCAGTCGACAGCAGCGGCTCCATAGAGTTTGGAAACTATGCCGATGCCCTGTGGTGGGGAGTGGTAAGAATATCTGTTTGTGTGTGTTTTGTTCACCTCTGATCTTGTACACATCTGATATATAACGGATATGATACGTTTTGATTGACAGCGTCTTCATTGCAGAATGATGAATTCCTTTATTTATCAAAGGAATAGTTTGACATTTTGGTAAGTACTGATGAGATGAAAAGATTGATTCTACTCTCATGTCATAAGATGAATATCAAGCAGTAGCCAGGGGATGGGGGAAAAAGCTATCAAAGCTCTATCCAAAGGTTAAAAATAATCTGCCTACAAGCCTCTTTAAAGCTCACTAATTAACACGTTATGTCTTGTTTATTTTGAAGAAAAAAAACGGTGTGAAAACAACAACGGTTATATAAGATTACTATGCCTGATTATCATCATATTTTAAATCCACAGAACTATTATCTTTCTAACATATAAGTTGACCTTGATCATATCTATGTCCACCATAGATATTTTATTTTCTTAGAACAGTTGTTGGTTCTTTCCAATCTTGCCAAGAGTAAGATTGTGCAGAAAACACATATTTGTTTCAAACAGTATTTGGGAAGTGAAAGGTCAAACACAAACTGCTTTATCTGTACTACTGTTGCTACAGTGGGAGTTTTGTTAAGACCCTTGGGCACATCCAGTGGGCTGCTAATACAAGCAACAAAACAAATAGTGCAGAGAATAGAGGATGGAAATGTATTTTCAGACAATAAGTCCCCACCCACTCTGCTTCTTGGAAACTTTAGAGACTCTGATAATAAAAAAGGCCACACAGAGTCAAAAACACTTTTCCATATAAATGAAAGTGTACTGTATGCAATATTTACCCATTATATTCCAGGAGTTGTATGAGCTTTGGGTCAACTCTCTCCAACTTGCAGTCATGGGCCCTCTCAGTCCAATAATATGTAAGTGAGAGTCTGAGGGGTAAGAGTCAGATAAGACTCACAGTAGATTGATTTTACAACCAATCTGAACTGTTTTTGTTCACAAATCATTTACATGTCAAACATTCTCGCTGCCAACATGACAAAGCATTTTCTCTATAAGGCTGTATTTGTATTGTTTTTAGTTTGTTGCTGTTGAAGCCTTGCTAGCTACATGGCTCTTTGGCCATGTTGGTTGGTCAGTCAATCTATTTGGATCCACTTTAATCTTGGCTGAAATAAATGTGTAATGGTTTGGCATGAAATACATATATTCATGGTGCCTACTGACTTTAGTAATCATCTGATTATTTACCTGTGACACATCAGCATTCAAGCATTGTCATTGTCACTATGTTAGCATGCTGAAGTTAGCATTTTCCTCATAGCATCCCCCTGACATTTAGTTTAAAGTCAAGGCTCAAATTCTCATTTTGGGGAAAAAAACTCAAGTCAAACTCAAGATTTGTGGCTGCTCCAAAACTAATTCCAAATGTGACAGATAACTACAGGTGTTGATACTTTTCTTCTACTATCTATAAACCACAATGTTGTGTGTTGGAACATTCTTTACAGCAAATATATGTGTTTTTATAGAATGAAAGTACCTGTATGAGTTCCTGTGTTGTTGTTTTTCAAAGGTGACAGTGACTACCATTGGGTACGGAGACAAAGTGCCACAAACCTGGATTGGAAAGACCATTGCATCCTGTTTCTCAGTATTTGCCATTTCTTTCTTTGCTCTGCCTGCAGTAAGTGAAATGAGAAATTGTTGAACCAGGGTGTCTGCTACTCTGTCAGATTAATCCCGATTCCCTACTGAACTAAACATGTAATTAGTTTAGTCTTTTATATGTAAATGAAGCAAACACTGTCTGCTAGTTTACATTTGATTACAAATATTTTCAGTTTACTGTTAATTTCTGAGTGAGGGTACCACCACTGTATTCTATAAGTTTAAATAGTTACTGTTCTAACATCTAAAATACCCTTTCCTCAAAAAGCAATTTCTTTGAATGGCAAAGTAGGTTTTGTAGGAAGACAGTGTTAGAAATTAGGTACGCAAAATACCCATCATATTTTTTATAACCAATATATAATATAGTGGATATTTTGGGGCTATCACTACATTTCTTTGCACAATATTTTGTCGTGAAATTACAATAAATTATCCTAAGAAGTTGAGAAAATACCTAAATGTCTCACATCATCATCCATTTAAACATATTCAATTAAAGTAGAGAAATATTTCAGCGTGAAACAGCCCATTATTCCTTAATTTTTGGTTAAATTGAATTTATTTTGGTCTTTTGAATCCTGCTGCTGCCTGTAAGTGAATCGTTAAAAGGGAATTAATGAGCTGGAACTCTGCTGTGCTTTTCTTCTCAGGGAATCTTAGGCTCTGGCTTCGCCCTGAAGGTGCAGCAGAAGCAAAGACAAAAACACTTCAACAGACAGATCCCTGCAGCTGCCTGTCTCATTCAGGTATGTGACCAAATAACACAGAAACAGAACAATACAGCCAGGGGAGTGAACCGTCTCTGAGCCCCAGTGATATTATTGAAACAATCCTTTACTATCTTTCTCGCATGGCATGAAATTAGTCCTGTCCAACCAATATATTGCTTTTTTTCATGCCCCTTTAGACATCATGGAGATGTTTTGCAGTGGAGAACTTGGATTCAGCCACATTAAAAATGTTTTTGAAGAAGAGATCCCACATCCCTGCCTCTTCTTTGTCCACCCCCAAGCCCAAGAAATCGGTTTGTAACAATTTTCATAGATTTCATTGCAACTGCTTATCATGCTCCATTTCCGTCTTAAAGCAAAAATGAATGCAATATGAAGCAACATCCATGCAATACCGTAAAGTCTTAGTAGTGTAGAGGCTATGTTGGACTTCTGTAATGCTAAATTCAGCTGTAACTTATAAATGAAATGAATCACAGTCAAAGGAAAGCAACTCCACTAACTGTCCAATGTTAGACAGACTGAAGGGATTATTGTTAACATTGCATTATTTGATGTAAGTGTACCACAATTATTGTGGGCGTTAGAAGGATTAACAAACTGGTATATAATACTTGAAAGTGAAGTGTCTATACATGACATTCAGAACATTAATATAGCAGCAAAAATATGCTTGTTGCTATCATGGAGTTATGTCTTCTTGAGCAGTGACACTCCTCCTGTGTGTGTTGTACAACATCTGTGTTTTGATGTGTTGAACTTGAAAAATCCAGACATAAAGTAAATATTCTACGGTGGCCCTGAAGTGCAAGACACCACAGCATTTCACAAAACGCCACAGCATTTCACAAAACACAACAGCATTTCACAAAACGCCACAGCATTTCACAAAACACAACAGCATTTCACAAAACACAACAGCATTTCACAAAACGCCGCAGCATTTCACAAAACGCCGCAGCATTTCACAAAACGCCGCAGCATTTCACAAAACGCCGCAGCATTTCACAAAACTCCGCAGCATTTCACAAAACACAACAGCATTTCCCAAAACGCCACAGCATTTCACAAAACACAACAGCATTTCACATTGGACGGAAAGGGTATTCCTTAGGGAGAACACTTCTTGTTTGTGATTGGACAGAGCCAGCCATAGAAGCACTGCTGTGATTGGTTGTTTTTGCTGCCAGTCAAGAAATGACGCTTCGTGATTGGCCCAACACATCAGCCGTTAGCTGTTAGCACACACTCAGAGCTCACAGCTCCTCATATCTGTTCAGAAACTGGACAAAAGTTCAACATATACAAAACACAGACTGTCTATGTCATGGTGAATACAGTCGCTGCAGGTTAGTTTAGCCTGATCGATCCGATTCCGATAGGATTTACATGGAGATACGGCCCGCCCCCTCTCCAGCGTCTTGTTTGAATGACAGGAGTAAACACAGAATTAATGCTTTATTAATTCATGGTTTTTAAGGGGCTTATCTCCATGTAAATACTATGGTAGACCACCCAATATTCGCATCGCTCTAATCGCTCGAGTTTCACCGCGGCTGTCAGCTGTGTTTGCTCCTGTCATTCAAACAAGAGGCGCTGAGAGGGGGTGGGGCGTATCTCCAAGTAAATTCTCTGGGAGATACCAACTACAACAAAATGAACATATTTGACCGTGATTTAATTGTAATACACGTTTCAAAGTGATGCCGAAGTAACTACATACTGATAACGGTTAGTAAAAACCATGAATTAACGCTTTGACAAATCTGCAGACAGACGGCAGGCGAAAAGCTTTTAAAATGCGTGTTTTCTGAATGGAATCGGATCCATCAGGCTAAACTAACCTGTAGCTGCTCCGTCCACACTCACAACAACGTCATACAGACATAAATAAAGCAGCGACTGTATTCGCCATGACATAGACAGTCTGTGGTTTGTACATGTTTAACTTTTGTCCAGTTTCTGAACAGATATGAGGAGCTGTGAGCTCTGAGTGTGTGCTAACGGCTGATGTGTTGGGACATATTTCGCTGTCGGGTGTTGACCAATCACGAAGCGTCATTTCTTGACTGGCAGCAAAAACAACCAATCACAGCAGTGCTTCTCTGGCTGGCTCTGTCCAATCACAAACAAGAAGTGTTCTCCCTAAAGGCCCTGTCACACTGTCCCGAAATTGACACCCGATGGACACACGAATATGGAATTGTGAATTTCGCACGATGATGGCCCCGAACCACACACGAAGGCAACATTTACATTACATTTAAGACATACAACTGCAATGAAAGTACCAAAAACAATTGTGTTACAGTACTATCAATCAATCAATCAATGTTTATTTATATAGCCCAATATCACAAATGTTACATTTGTCTCAGTGGACTTTACAGTTTGTACAAAATATCAGTATGACAATACGACACCCTCTGTCCTTAGACCCTCACATCGTACAAGGAAAAACTTCCGAAGAAAACCCACAGTTTAAAGGGAAAAATGGGAGAAACCTCAGGAAGAGCAACAGATGAGGGATCCCTCTCCCAGGATGGACAGACGTGCAATAGATGCCGTGTGTAAATTGAAAAGATAATACATTTGCAACATAGGTAGTCCAAATGTTTGGAAATGCATGTGTGTATAATAGGAAGATGAATCCACGAGGATATCCATCCAGGACCTATGATCCAGGACCACAGCCACGACTCAAGATCCAGGACAGAGGAGCGCAGGATCATCCATGACTCCGGATCCCGGCGTATACAGACACCAACAAGAAAGACATTTGGGGAAGCTGGGTTAATCGGAACATGAGAGTACACAGGTATAGACAGAGAGAAGGAAGAAGTAAGATGTCCCCCGACAAACTAAGCCTATATCAGCAAAACTAGGGGCTGGATCTAATCAGCCCTAACTATAAGCTTTATCAAAAAGGAAGGTCTTAAGCGCACTCTTAAAAACGGATAGGGTGTCTGCCGCCCGAACACAAACTGGAAGCTGATTCCACAAATGTGGAGCTTGATAAGAAAAGGCTCTGGCTCCCATTGTACTTTTAGAGACTCTAGGAACAACCAACAACCCTGCATTCTTGGAACGCAATGCCCTAGTAGGACAGTAGGGTATAATGAGTTCTTTAAGGTAAGATGGCGCCTGCCCATTAAGGGCTTTGTAGGCGAGAAGAAGAATTTTAAATGCTATCCTGTGTTCTATAGGGAGCCAGTGTAAGGCAGCCAGAACAGGAGTAATGTGGTCCCTTTTCCTAACTCTGGTTAGTACACGAGCTGCAGCATTTTGAATCAGCTGAAGCGACTTGACTGACTTCTTGGTACACCCTGATAATAAAGAGTTACAATAATCCAGCCTTGAAGTAACAAATGCATGGACTAGTTTCTCTGCATCGTTTTGAGGCAAGATATGCCTGATTTTTGCAATGTTACGTAGATGGAAGTAGGCGGTCCTTGAAATTGATTTTATGTGGGCGTTAAAGGATAAATCCTGATCAAATATAACACCAAGATTCCTTACAGTCTCACTGGAGGCCAAATTAATGCCATCCATGGTTAATATATCCTTAGATAATTTGTTTCGTAGATTCTTCGGGCCAAGTACAATAACTTCAGTTTTGGTCGTGTTTAACATCAAAAAGTTTAAGGTCATCCACGTTTTTAAGTCCTTAAGGCAGTCTTGAATTTTATTTAGATGATTAATTTCATCAGGCTTGATTGATAAATATAGTTGAGTATCATCCGCATAACAATGAAAATGTACAGAATGATTCCTTATAATATTGCCTAACGGAAGCATATATAATGTGAACAAAATAGGTCCGAGCACTGAGCCCTGTGGCACTCCATGGCTAACTTTGGTTTGCGTGGAAGATTCATCATTGACACGTACAAACTGAGAGCGTTCAGATAGATAGGACCTAAACCAGTCTAAAGCAGTTCCCTGTATGCCAACTAAGTGCTCTAGTCTTTGCAATAGGATATCATGGTCGATAGTATCAAATGCAGCACTGAGATCGAGCAAAACAAGAATAGAGACACGTCCCTTGTCAGAGGCTATTAGAATGTCATTTGTGACTTTAACCAGAGCTGTCTCTGTGCTATGATGTGTTCTAAAGCCAGACTGAAAATCTTCAAATAAATCATTGTTGTTAAGTAATCACACAGCTGTTTTGCGACCGCTTTCTCAAGAATTTTTGAGAGGAACGGAAGATTGGAAATAGGTCTATAATTGGCTAAAACCTCTGGATCGAGGTTGTGCTTTTTAAGAAGCGGTTTTATCACTGCTACTTTGAATGATTGTGGAACATAGCCTGATAATAAAGACATATTCATAATATTTAATAAATAAGTGCTAATTAATGGAAAAACTTCCTTCAACAGCTTAGTTGGAATTGGGTCTAACATACACGTTGATGGTTTAGAAGAGAGAATCATTGAATTTAATTGTTCAAGGTTTATGGCTGAAAAGCATTCTAGTTTACTATCTAGTGTAATATTAGAACTTACGTTTCCGGGAGCTGTTGATAACACTATACTGGTCAAAGGCAAGAGGTCATTAATTTTGTTTCTAAGAGTAACAATTTTATCATTAAAAAAGCACATAAAATCATTACTACTGAGTGCTATGGGAATAGAAGGCTCAATTGAGCTGTGGCTTTCTGTCAGCCTGGCTACAGTGCTGAAAAGAAATCTTGCATTATTCTTATTCTCATCTATTAATGAAGAGTAGTAGGCTGCTCTCGCTTTACGCAGTGCTTTCTTATATTCATTGAGAGTAATATGCCAAATTAAACGAGATTCTTCAAGTTTAGTGGAACGCCATATCCTTTCAAGTTGTCTCGACTTTTGCTTTATTTTGCGGGTTTCGACATTATGCCATGGAGCTAATCTATGTTGTTTTATTTTCTTCTTTTTCAAAGGAGCAACAGAGTCTAATTTTATTCACAGCGCATCTGTAGCACTATCAACAACATGATCAATTTGGGGTGGTGTACATTTTGTATAAGTTTCCTCCCTTACATGCAGACATGCTATCGAGTTAAGTATTGGTGGAATCTCTTCCTTAAATTTGGCTATAGCACTAACAGATAGGTTTCTGCTGCAGGAGCTTTTGACTAATGCTTTGTAGTCTCGTAACAGTACTTCAAAAGTTACTAAGAAATGGTCGGATAAAGCAGGATTATGCGGTTCGACTAATAGTTGCTCAATTTCAATACCATAAGTCAGAACAAGGTCGAGAGTGTGATTATAGCAGTGGGTTGGTTTATTTACACTCTGACAAAAACCAACAG